TATCTTATCTTGTCTTGTCTTATCTGGTGATTATCATTGGGAGGAGGGAGGCGCGAGCGGGAGGAAGAAGGAGGAGGAGGAGTGGGAGGCGTCAGAGTAATAACAAGAACCCCAATCCTTAGGATATGGGGAATAACAAGAACCCCAATCCTTAGGATATGGGGAAATAGGATCCACGACACTGTCGCACACCCGAGAAAATGACCCACTTGGATCCATCGGTGTTCTTATATTTTAGTCCAAGAGGAAAAACCTTCGGCCTGGGGATGTATTCATCACCCTCCCGCCCCCGGAATTCAATGATGATTTTAGCATGGGTAGTGGTTGTGGGGTTCGAATATTTCTGTCCACCCACGCCCTCATGCTGAGCCAAGGACCACCTTTGGCTCAGGACGGCTCTGGTCTCCGGGCCGCTCCGGGGTCGGGGGCTCGGTCGGCGCCGAGTTGAGCCGCTGCTGCGTCCCGCTCGCTCTGAGCCGATGATCCGGCGTGGAAGGCGCACTTGAGAGGCTGTAGGTGTCAGTGCTTGCACCCCAGGCCAAAGGTCGTTCGTTGACGGCACTCGCCCACTGGGCAGTCGTCGGCGGAGTCGCGCGTGGTCTGATCTAGTCGTGGCCGAGGCTCGCCGTGGCCAGTACGGTAGGTTCATGCGGCGATGGCGCGCCAGCTAAGCTGGCGTTTTTTCCGCAGGAGAAGACTGAGGTGGGGGAGGAGAAGGAGGCGGGGGCGGAGGACGAGGACGACGACAGTGACGAGACGCGGCCCCCGCCGCCAGCGGGACCCTGCCCGCGGCTCCTGCAGCAGAGCGACCTGGCCCAGAAGCCCGAGACGGCACTGGCGGCGGACGTCAAGGGCGCATTGTGCTCCGTGCAGATGGCGAGGGGGGGGTCAGTGGCAATATCGATCCGATCAATCCAATTCGATGCCGACCCCGACCTGTCCAATCTGGTCCGAGGCCGATCTCTCGGGGGCGGCCAACAGGAGGGTGCTGATTGTGGGGGGGGACATCATGGCGGGGGCCATGATATCTCCCCAGATTTCATGGTGCCTCTGCTCATTTCATCACGTCCCCAGCCCCCCCCCCTGGGATAATCAACTCTCAGCCGGGAGCCCTTGAGAGAGGATGCTTTCCCTGCTGGGGCCCCTCGCTATCAGAAAGAGCGAGTTCCGTGGTCGCCTGGAGGGGAGGGAGGGGGGAGGGAGCTCTGAAACCAAGCCTTCCCCCCCCTCTGGGAGCGAGGGGGGGATCTATTTGAGTGTCTGGAGCATGGGGTTACCGCTGCCTCTCCCTCGGTTCCGCCGCTGTGGGCCCTCCGGGAGGCCCGCATCGCCACGGCCAGCGTCGCCTCGAGGGAATCTTCTCGATCGTCTGTCTTTGAGACCTCAGATGCATTAGCAGTCGAGCCTCACATGCTACCGCGCGTTGGCGCGATACAGTGGGGGCCCATGCCAAGAAACACCCTGCTTGCCTCCAGAGTGCCCTTGGTTTCTTGGGTTTCGATTGTTTTGCTATGGAAGGCACGACGTTCCCACGCAAAGAATCAATGGACGCCCTGGGGTCTCAGGGTTGGGTTTCTTGTGGAAGGTTTCTTGCGGACTGGCACCTCCACTGTATTCTCCTCACGTCGCACGACGCCGTGCGGGTTAGGGCCTCAAATGGCCGTGCTGCGTCCAGGGCGCGGGTTCCGATGAAGGCGCGAGATCGCGCTATCGCCAGGCGCAAGCGTGCCGTCCGAGAGTTGCTGCAGCGGAGAACCTCCGCCCCGTTTGCGGAGCCTGCTATTATTTATCATCATCATCATCATCATCATCATCATCACCATCACCATCACCATCACCATCACCATCACCATCACCACCACCATCACCATCACCATCACCATCACCACCACCATCATCGTCAGCGTCATCATCCTCATCATCAGTCGCATAAACCTCGTCGTCATCCTTACCATCATCATAATCATCATGACAATCATCATAATCAGCATCAACACCATCGCCATCACCATCGCCATCGTCAGCATCAGTCGCATCAACAGATCCGTCATCTTCATCAACACCATCATAACCATCATCAACATCATCAGCAGCAGCATCCCCTTCTTGTCCTCCTCCTCCTCGTCCGCCTCCTCCACTTCGTCATCCCCGTAGCCCGACGTCGTGTTGATTCGCCACGTGGGGCCCCGTACTTCTGGACTTCTCCTTCCTTGGGACGAGCTTTTCGTCCCGAGCCTTTGTTTGATGACCCCGGGGCCACGTAACGACACCCTTGAGGCCGCCAATTTCCCAGACACTTCGGCGTGATTTTTGTCAAACGACGTGAGGGGGGTTTGGGTCCCCTTCTCCCTCTCCCGCTCTTCCCCCCCCCCTGCACGACGCGAGGAGGCATGGGTACCTCCCCTTTCCCCCCCCCCTGCTGTCCTCTCCTCCTCACTCTCCCGCCGCGCGATGCGACGTGGTACTCCAGATCTCGTAATAAAAGGGAGGGGATCTGGACCCTCCAAGACAAGCCATTTCAGACCTCCCCCGTGGGAGAACCCTCCCAAACATCGTCCCCAGACCCCCCCAGGCCCTCCAAGGTAGCCCGGAAGAGACCCCCCCCGAAATGAGACCCCCCTCCCTTTATTTTACGAAATCTGGAGCATGCTTTCCCTCCCGCTGCCCTCCCCCCTCCCCCCCCCTCCCCCTCCCGAGGCTTCCCCACGGCCCCCGCCCCGCCGGGCTGTCGGGAGGCCCCCGACGCTGGCCCGGGCGGCAACTCCGACATCCGCACCAAGGTCCCCTCCGCTCGCTGGGGCGGGCGGCAGAGAGGAGGAGGAGGAGGAGAACGAGGGGGAGGAGCAGGGGGAGGAGGGGGAGGAGGAGGAGGAGGAGGAGGAGGAGGAGGAGGAGGAGGAGGAGGAGGAGAGGAGGAGGAGAGGAGAGGTAGGGGAGGAGGAGGAGGGGGGGGAGGAGGTGAGGGGGTAGGAGGTGCGGAAACGACGGGGAGTGGAGGAGGAGGTGGAGGAGAACGAGGGGGAGGAGGAGGAGGGGGGGGAGGAGGAGGAGGTGGTGGATATTAGAGGAGGAGGAGGAGGAGGAGGAGGAGGAGGAGGAGGAGGAGGAGGAGAGGAGGAGGAGGAGGAGGAGGAGGAGGAGGAGGAGGAGGAGGAGGAGGAGGAGGAGGAGGGGGAGGGGGAGGCGGAGACGAGAGGAGAAGGAGGAGGGGGAGCGGAGACGAGAGGAGGGGGAGCGGAGAAAAAAGAGGAGGAGGAGGAGGCGGAGGCGGAGGATGGGGAGAAAAAGAGGAGCTTGTTTCATCAGCGATGCTCCTGCCAACTCACGCCGACAGAGAAAAAGGCTCGGCCTGGACCTGGGGAAACTTGGGGTGCCTTCCCTTGAGGAGGCCGGACCAGGTCGAGATCGCGAAATTGCTGGCAGGCCTGTTCATACACTTCTTACGAAGGGAGGAGGAGGAGGAGGCGGAGGCGGAGGATGGGGAGAAAAAGGAGAACCAGTGAAAACCCAAGGCTCATGGCCGGTGCTGGAAAAAAAACCTCCCTCTGGAAAAAAAAAACAACCTCCCTCCAGGCTCCCTCGTCATAGGCCCCTGCAAAGGCTCATTGCCACTCTTTGCAGTACTCCGTTTGGAGACAACCGTTTGAAGATCCTGGAGCATGCCAGGACACCATTTTTGGGATTCCAACGTCACGAATCAACCTGAGTGTTGCGCGTTGGCGAGCGAATCTCGCCAGAACACCCTTCCTACGACTTCAACACCGTGAGTCAACGTAACCGCTGCGCCCTGACAATCCCGAATCGTTCCAAAACAGATTTCTGGTACGCTAACCATGGGAACCCGTGAAACTCTTTACACCTGTTTAACACGAGTGCGCGCGGCGCTAAGGCGAGAGCCACATGTTGCAAACGGCCCGCGCTCAAGCCGCAAAACGCTTGAAACTTGTAAGACGATATGTGCGCTGCACTAGTGCGAGCCACATTTTGAAAACGGCCCTCTCTGAATCCGAGAAGCTCTCACATCGTTTGAAACGAATGTTTGCGGCGATCAAGCGATAGCCGCATTTTGAAAACGACCCGCCCTCAATCCGTGAAACTTCTGCAAGTTTGAAAGACGAGCGTGTGCGGCGCTACGGCGAAAGCCACATTTTGAAAACGGCCCGCCATCAACCCGTGATGTGCGCGGCGTTAAGGCGACAGCTACATGTTGGAAGCCGCCCGCCCTCCATATGTGAAGTTGTCGTCAACTCTCAATGTGCATGACCATAAATGGTCACGAAGTCTCAAGCGAAACGCCCGGCCTGTCCTTCCGATTGTTTTCGGGATGCGACAGGGATAAGTTTTTTTTTATAAGGAAAGGAGTGTAGGAGGACGAGGCAGAGGAGGAAGATGAAGAGGAGGATGAGCGGGAATGGAGGAAGATGAGGAGGCGGAAGAGGAGGAGTAGAAGGAGGAGGAGGAGGAGGGACATCGGGAATGAGGGGATGGAGAAAGGAGTAGAGAAGAAGGAAGAGGTCGATGATAGCGAGGAGGGTAAAAGACCTCGCATCCAGCGCTTGCCCTCAGTCAGAAGGAGGAGGAGTGCGGGCCTTTCCCAGCTGAGATCCGTACCGCACGGTCCATGACGTGGGAAACTCGCTGCAGTTGCTCCTCTTCACCCTCCCATCCACCTCTCCCCCCCTATCCCCCTCCTTTTTTGCTACGGGTTCGCTTCGCCTGGTGATCGCTTCGCCGCTGGGGCTTGCTTCGCCGAGTGTTCGCGTCGCTGGGGTTCGCGTCGCCGGGGGTTCGGTTCGCTCGGGGTTCGCTTCGCCGGTGTTCGCTTCGCTCGGGTTCGCCTCGCTGGAGTGCAACTGGCGAGGCTCGGGCAGATGGGCGGGCCGGCGGGCGGATCCTGACGGGCGCGCGGGGCACTACAGCGAGTGGAGCCCAAGGCACGCGAGCTGATGGGCACGGACGCGCGGGCGCGTGGACTCTCACGGGCGGACGGGCAGACACTCACGGCAGGGCAGGCCGTCACCGGCGGACCATCACGCAAGCAGGCGGCCGGACCTTGACGGACGCGTTGGCGCGCGGACCTCAATGGGCGGGCGGGTGGGCGGACACCAAAGGGCGGGCGGGCGGGCGGTCTTGACCGGGTGGATGGGGGACCAAGCAGGTGGACGGGCAGGCCGATCCTAGCCGTCGGTGGGTCGGGCAGTGCCGATGCTACCAAGCGAAACTAATCACCGTGCGTTTCGCGAAGTGAACCGGCAAGGCGCACCGTGCGAGGCCAACCAGGCGAAGCGAACATACGCCCTTCTTTTTCCTCTTTGCTTCCGCTCGTCCGCCTCCTGCTCCTGCTACGTGCCTAAGCATCCTGTTCCTCCCCCGGATGATCCTCAGTTTCATCCTCCAGCTGCTCCTTCTCCATCTCTTCGTCCTCATGTTGGTATGTGTGCTCCTCCTCGTACTCCTTCTCGTCCTTTTCCTCTTTCTCCTCCTCTCCCTCTTCTTCCTCCTCCTCGTCTCCGTTTCCACCCGTCCACAGATACACACTATACACACTATGAGTCGTACTCTCATTTCTCTCTTTCCTGAAGACTTTCTGAGAGTGGCCCGCCCCCCCCACTCGTATTGTGCATACACCGGATTGGTTTGGGTTGTTATTTCTGATGTGGTTTTCCATCCGAGCGTGGTCTGTCCTTCAACTACGGCGCTCTCTCTGCAGCCGGAGCCTTTTTTCTGATCGGCGTTGTGTTTCCCCATCGTTCAACATGGCGCTGTCGCCCCAGCATTGACCACGTGTCAAAATCCGAGTCCTTCCTCATCGATTTCTCCCCGCTCCTTTTCCCTCCTCCGCTTTTTTCTGGACCACTTCCTCCTCCCACTCCTGCTTCTGTTGCTGCTCCTCCTCGTCCTCCTCCTCCACCCTATCCTCCTCCTCCTTCCTCATCCTCCTCTTCCTCCTGCTCATCGTCCAGCTCATCCGCCACCTCCCGCTTCAATATGCACAGGTCCCCTTTCTGATTGCGCATAACACGTCCGCTGTGTCACCCGTCGGCGAATCGAGACAAAACGGCGCCATGGGACGGCGCTATGGGAAGGGATGGTTAGGAGGGGTATGGTGTCAGATGTGGTTCGAGTCGCTAGAGCGCACCTAGTTTGCCTCCTCCCCCTCGTCCTCCTTTTCTTCCTCCCCCTTTCGCTCGTCATTTCCTCCCCCCTCATCCTCCCCCTTCTCCTCATTCTCCTCTCCTTGTCGTCCTCCCCCCTCTCATTATCCTTCCCATCCTCATTCTCATCTTCTTCATCCTCTCCACCCCGTTCTCCCCCTTCTCATCTTTCTAATCCCCCTCTCCCTCCTCTGCATCCCCTCTCTTCCTCCTCCTCCTCCGCCTTCTCATCCTCCTCCTCCTCTTCCTCCTTCACCTCCTCCTCTCCCTCTCTCCCCTCCTCCTCCTCCTCCTCCTCCTCCTCCTCCTCCTCCTCCTCCTCCTCCTCCTCCTCCTCCTCCTCCTCCCCGTCCTCCTCTTCCTCCTCCTCCTCCTCCTCCTCCTCCTCTTCCATATCCTCACCCCTTCTCCAGTTTCACCTCCCCTCCCGCTTCGTCCACCTCCTCCGCGCCCTCCCCGCCCCATGACGGGGACGGCAGGGGACGACAACGAAGGGGACGGCGAAGCGAATGACTACGACGACGACGACGACGACGACGACAACGACGACGACGACGACGACGACGACGACGACGACGACAGCAAGCACCACGACGGGCGCCTAGTGTCCCGTCCAGCCCGCCGCTCCGGCTCGAGGTCGAGGTGCTCGTCGTCGTGGTGGTGGTCGTCGTCGACGTCGGCGACTTCGTCGTGGTGCTCGTCGTCGTCGTGGTGCTTGTCGTCGTCGACGTCGTCGAGGTTCTCGTTGTCTTCGTCGTCGTCGTCGTCGTGGTGCTCGTCGTCGTCCTCGTCGTCGTCGTCGTGGTGCTCGTTGTCGTCATCGTCGTCGTGATGATCGTTGTCGTCGTCGTCGTCGTCGTCGTCGTGGGGCTTGTTGTCGTTGTCTTCGTCGTCGTCGTCGTGGTGCTCGTCTTTGTCGTCGCCGTCGTCATCTTCGTGGTCCTTGTCGTCGTCGTCGTGGTGCTTGTTGTCGTCGTCGTTGTTATCGTCCTCGTCGTCATCGTGGTGCTCGTCATCGTCGTCCTCGTCGTCGTCGTCATGGTGCTCGTCGTCGTCGTCGTGGTGCTCGTAGTCGTCGACGTTGTCGTCGTCGTCGTCGTCGTCGTCGTCGTCGTCGTCATCGTCATCGTGGTGCTCGTCGTCGTCGTCGTCTTCCTCGTCGTCGTCGCCGTCGTCGTCCGCCCCCGCCCCCGCCCGAGGTCTTCCGCGTGGGGGCCCCGCTCCTGCGCAGCACCATCCCGCTCAGCATCAGCATGGGTCGCAGCGGCGGCACCTCGGCGGCCACGAGGGCCGCCACGGCGGCGCGCTCGGGGGCCTCGGGCGTTGTGTGATTCGGCTACGGTCGGCTCGGGGAGTCTACCCTAATGAAATGCTCTTCGTGTTTGTTGGATGCTCTTGTGCATCCTGGGGGAGGGCACCATCGAATGATCTGATGGCTTGGGGTGTTCTTGTCGGCGGAGGGCATCATGTTCTTGAAGGATGTCCCTCCGTCCTGGGGCCGACCGTACCGGCCTTTTCCAACTGCTTCGGCCTCCTGGGAGGCCCTCGGCGCCACCGCTGGATTCGCTTCACAAGTCTGGTCGGAACGCACCCCCGGAGAGATCCGTGGAGCAGCCGTATCCGTATTTTTGTTCGGTTCCCCAGCTTTCGCCGGAGCGACCTTTCGGTGCGGGCCCCACAGGGGTCCTAGCAGCACTGGCTGGCGCGCTTTGGACTGCTTGGGTTTGGCCTCCTCCTCCTCCTCCTCCTCGTCCTCCTCTTCCTCCTCCTCCTCCTCCCCCTCCTCCTCCTCCTCCTCCACCTCCTCCTCCGGCGGCACCCTGCAGCCACGCACCAAAGGTCGCTCTTGCCCGGGGTCACCTCGTGCGCGCAGCCGGGTGCTGGGGTTTAAGTCGGGCGGGTCCCTCTACAGGGGGAAAAGTTCAAAAATAGTAACAAAACAGTCTGGAGACGATGTTTGACTGTTTGGGGCCATTTTGAGGGCATTTATTTATTCTTCTTTATTTGATTCCAACATCCGCCTGCAGGGGACCATGCCCGACCTAAGACTGGGGGTTCGAGAAATGGGGGCCCTCAAGGGGCCCTCTGGAGCCCAACGCGGGAACGAAACTTGCACGTCTCATTCGCCCCCCACAGGTGATCGTTTTTTATTCCTCGTTTTGCCGATCGGCGCGGGCCCTCGCACCCCCCCCCTCTGCCCCCCCTCCCTGGAGTAGATCTTGGCTTTTTGTTGTGCCTATTTCGACCGCGTGGAGTCTCCCGGCCCCAAACAGTCGCACCAAGCAGAGGTCCGGAGCCAGACCTCTCCCCTCCCCACCCCCCTTCCGCCCGATGTCGAAACGCCGAACATCGGGACCTCGCAAAGGGGGGGGGGGGCCACAGGGGGGGGGTGAGTTCGGTCCGTCGGCGCACCGGGGAGCGCAGAAAAGCTATGCAAAGAGAGGTCTCCGGCCGCCGCCGGAACCCGAGAGGCGTCGACAATCGAGGAGCGCGTGGGGCATCGTTTTTCGGAATTTCGATGCGCCAGCGGATCGAACTCCCCTCAGGGCCCCCCCTTTGGTGAGCCCCGAGTTGTGCGATTTCGCGCGCGACCAGGCTTAAGTCGGGCTTGACTTTCTGCAGGAGGAACATTCAAAGATCATATAAGATTGGTCGGGGGACGATGTTTCTACTACTCTTGGCAATTGCTATCATTTTTGGCATACTTGTGTTATCTTTCGTCGAAAATCTGCGCGTGGGAGGACAGCACGCCCGACCTAAGACCAAAATCGCTCACCAGGGCGCCCCCCCTGTCAGCAGCGCCCAAGGGGCCGTGGCATGGCCGCGCCGCCTCTGTGTTGCCAGCGCACCGGCCGAGGCGCTGCCACGGACCTCCGGCGGGCTGCTTCTTTTTCTTCGTTCCGGGCGCTCCTCCTCGCCTTCGGCCTCCGCGAGCTTGCGGGGAGCGGCCGATTGCCGGGGGCGGCCGAGAGGGGGGTGATGACCAGGGTGAAGTCAGGGCACGTCCCTCTGCAGAAGGAATATTCAAACATAGTCCAAAAATAGTCTGGGGACGACTTTTTTACTATTCTGGAGCATTTGGGGGGTATTTGTCTATTTTTCGCCCGAAATCCCTTTGTAAGGGGAACACGCCCGACCTAGGACTTGGGGGGGGGAGGGATATCATGGCGGGGGCCATGATATCTCCCCGGACTTCACGGCGCCTCCTCTGGTTTCACTGCATCCCTGCCCCCCCCCTGGGCCGCGCACATGCCGCCGGCCATGATTTGCGCCCCTCTCCTCTTGGCCGCTCCCGAGCTTGGGGGCCATCCAAAATACGGTGGTGGCCTTGGTCAAGGAATGTGCCCAGGAGGCTTCAGACCCTGGAGGATTCCTTGCCTGACGAGGGCGGCGGTGATGTCCGTAGCCGACCCACGGTTGGAGTTCCAGGGGCTTCCAGGCCCTGGCGTCCTCATCCACTGGTTCCTTCCCCAATGCCCTCACCGTATATAATTGTGGAGGACGATAAATGGAGAGGAAGCATGTTGTCAAATAATTTCTATATGACTAAAACATGTGTTAAACATGTTTTAAACATGTACGAACACATATTCAGCAGAACATGCTTATAACATTTTTCCCGATTTGTTGAACACATGTTATGTTCAATGATCGGACTGTTATGGTGTCCATTGTCGTGGCATCCACAAGTATAGAGCCGGAGACGAACCGCTGCCCCCGAGGAAGGGGTCAGGACCTCTGGGGCGCTCGGTGGCTGCGGCACGGCGGCGGCGTCGTCGGCGTCGTCGGCGTCGCCGTCGCCGTCCTCGTCGTCGTCGGCCTCGTCGGCGTCGCCGTCGTCGTCGTCGTCATCGTCGTCGGCGTCGGCGTCGGCGTCGGCGTCGGCGCCGGCGTCGGCGTCGGCGGCGTGGGCGTGGGCGTCGGCGTCGTCGTCGACGTCGTCGTCGTCGTCGTCGTCGTCGTCGGCGTCTCCTTCCCCTCCTCCCTCATCCCATCCTTGCACCTGTCCTCCGCATGTCGATTTCGGCACGCCCCTCACGGGGATCGTGGCCCCATAGGGAACTACGCCGAAGGCCCCAGTGGCAGGGTCTGCACGGCGGACTCGGGCCAGTTCGGCACACCCCTCACGGGAATCGTGGCCCCGTACGGAGCTCCACCGAAGGCCCTGGCGGCAGGTTCCACAGGCGTCCCTTTGCCCATGTCGGTACACCATCCACGAGGATCGTGCCCCAGACGCACAGGTTATACTGCGTGCGCTATTCCGAGTTTGTATGCCCCCCTGCTTCGTCTCATCTCCCTCGCGGCACTCGCAGCTGCACGTGGTTTGGGTCCTTCGTCAAGCAAATTTTATTATTTCGGGATCCTCGATCTCGAAATCCTTACGGAACCTTCAGTTTCTGAACGGTTCCGACATGCGCGCGCGAGGATGCGCGCGTGTGTACTTACATGGTTTGCTGTTGCAAGAGGTTTTTGAATATTGGTGATTGTTCCCAGCCCTCCTGCGATGGGATCGAGCACGGCAGTCGCAGTTTCTTCCTTCCCGCCTCCCTTCTCCTCTCCCCTCCTCTGTGTCCCGAGCACCTCAAGATGTTTTGGGGGGCACCCGGATCCTCCTCCCTCCTTCCTCCTCGGCTCCTCCGTCCCTCCCCTCCTCTGGCCTCCCTCCGTCCTCCCTGCCCTCCCCCCCTCCCGAGCTTCTGGCCGACACCGCCGCGCTGCTGCCCCTCTGCTCCCTCCTCCTCGGCTCCTCCGTGCCTCCCCTCCTCGGCCTCCCTCCGCCCACCCTGCCCTCCCTCCCCCCTCCCCCCCCCCCAGAGCTTCTGTGGGACACCGCCGCGCCATCGCTTGGACGCGTGCATGCTCTTCTCTCGGCGAGCACCTTCTCAAGGAGCACCCTCGACCATCGGGCCCGAAAGACGCGCGCGAGACCCAAACATGCACGGGGAATGGGCGTTCGAGCGACGGCGGGTGCCGCCCGGCTCCCGCCCCTCTCCCGGCCGGCCGCGGCGGCGGGCGCCTGGGGCCCCGGGCAGCCGAGGCCTCCGAGCCGGCGGCGCCGAGCGGCCAGGCGCGGGGCGCGCGGGGCGCGGGCGGCGGGGAGGGTTTGGCCGAGCGGCAGGGGGTGAGGAGGAGGAGGAGGAGGAGGAGGAGGAGGAGGAGGAGGAGGATCGGGCCGAACGAAAGGGGAGGAAGAGGAGGAGGAGGAGGAGGAGGAGGAGGGGAGGAGGAGGAGGAGGGTCTGGCAGGACAGGGAGAGCGAGGAGGTGGAGGAGGGAGGAGGAGGAGGAGGAGGAGGAGGAGGATCGTGCCGAACGAAAGGGGGGGATAGGGAAAGGGGGGGGGTACGAAATCTGCTGCAGCTGGTTTCGGCCCACCGAGGGGCCCGTTCCTCGATACATGGGCGCCTCCTGGCGCCGGGAGGCGCCGGGGAAATCAGCTACGTGAGCCGATTCTCACCCCCCCCCTTTGCTATCCCCCCCTTCGCCCGGCCCGAGGTGGGGGAGGCTCGCCATGGCTTGGCGTTAAGTCGGGCCTGTCCTTCTACAGGAGGAATATTCAAACATAGTCGAGAAATACTCGGGGGACGTTTTTGTTGACTATGTTTGATTTTTCGGTGGTCTTTTTCGCGGAATGTTATTGTTCCTTTCAAAATCATTCTGTAGGGGACATGTCCGACCTAAGCTTGGCACCGCTCGGACGTGTGCACAGTTCTGCTCGGCGAGGGCCTCCGAGGACTCCTGCTGGAGGATTTCGAGGGAAACCCGCAAACGAAAAAACAAGACAGTACAACAAAACAAACACGCGAAACCGAACACAGGGCTGGACCAAAACGGTGTTTTTGGTGATTTTGTGGGCCGTTTTCGTTTCAACTTCATTTACGGTAAAGGCGGATTCGAGACAAAAGCGAGGGAAAACGAACATGATCCAGCGAAGATCCAGGACATCGGGGTGGACTTCCGAAAGTTTCTGCTGATGCGCTTGTTTGCCCTTCTATTGCCACGGCGCCGGGCGCCCAGGTGTGATCAGTCGGGGTAAGACAGGTACACATATTTTCAGACCAGGGCACGCTCTCAGAGCTTTCAAGAACGCATCAATTATTATAAAATATGAGTACATATAAATTCCTTGTCTGTACGACATGTAAATTTTTGTGATATGCACAACATTAATCTCGCATAATAATGTGTACCGCATTTGCACACAAAAATCACAAGAACATTATATACTCTGTTTCGAGCATGCATACCATACCTGTTGTTTGTTTCAAGAGTTTTTGGATCACATTGTCGCCCATTCTGGGTGACCAGCGTTTCGATCGGAGAAGGCCGCGGCGCCCGGTACATGCTCCAGACCCGCCGGATCTCAGAGATCCCCGGTTTGTCCGGCTCCGTTCTTGTCCCTGTCTTGGCTTCGTCTTCGAAAGGAGGGTGCCTGGTGGCCTTGTGACAGGTCATCGGACCGAGGCCTTCCACCAGAAGGGGCGCGCGTGGTGGGCGGAGGAGGGAGGAGGACGAAGACAAGGCGGAGGGGCGTCCGCCGAGCTGGAGCTTCAAACGGGTGGCGCTGCCTCTTCTACGTATCTGGTATTAGCTGGCAGTCGCTTGCAGGATCTGTGAGTGTCGCGGGGGCGCGGCGGGGCGCGGCGGAGGGGGGGGAGAATTTCAACGGGCCTTGAGTTGGCACGGCCGTGCTGCGTGCCAAAAGTGGGCCAAGCTCCAGCGGAGAGTGGGGGCGACCCCCGCTCCGTCACTCAGGCACGGGCTGGTCGCAGCAGCAGTGGAGCAGGTGCCCCAGCAGAGCACCCTGCCTGACAGGAGCAGCGGTGAAGAGGCGGGTCGACGAGCAGGGGGACGGCGAGTGAACGCGCGCATTCCCACGTACACCCAGGGATGCCTACGCGTGCCAGCGGTGAGGGCACGGCCATGAGCGCTCTGGCTTAGGGGATCGTGGCCCCGTGACACGGGTGGGAGCGCGGCCACGTGCACCGCAACGCAGTTTTCACCATGCATCGTGGACGGCCAGGCTAAAAACGCAGCCAGCATTTACGCGAGAGCACGACTTCTGAGTAATGTGGGAGGAAGTCGAAGGGCAAAAAGGTTGCCGACACCGGCGTCCTCGGGCTTCTCGTCCCATTTTGTGGGACTCTTCTTTCGTGCTTGCTTACATTCCGGCTTCAGAACCCTTCTTGGGGAAGCTCTCTATTAAGGAGCAGTGTCGATTGGATCGTATCTTCGATGTCACGTCGTTGCTCATCTCAGGGGGAGGAGCTGCAAAACAGTCATAAGGGAGTCGTTCAGAGATCGATCTTACCCCTCCTCCTCCTTCTCCTCCATCTCCTCCTCCGCCTCCTCCTCCTCCTCCTTCTCCTCCTCTCCCTCTTCCTCCTCCCTCCTCCTCCCCTTGAGGTGAGTGGGAGGGCTGCAATGCAGTCACAGGAGTCGTTTGGAGATCAATCCTCCCCCCCCCTTCCTTTCTCCCTCTCTCTCCTTCTCCCCTGGGGGTCATCAGGCTGCCCGAGTGCACTGGGGGGAGAGGAGGAAGAATGAAGGGTAGGGAGGAAAGAAGAAGGAAGGAGAGAGGGGGGAAGGAGAGAGGACGGAGGGAGGTGGGAGGAACGCAGAGACAGGAGGGAGAAGAGGCGGGAGGGATAAGGAGGGGAGGACGGAGAAGAGCCGTGGACTCAATTTGGGAACTCTTGGCCACAGGGCCACGTATCTTGCCATCGCTAGCAGGCTGGTGCAAACTCGCTGTGCGCCGTCGGGAAGGAATAATGAGAGGTAAGAGCTAAGAGAGAGGGAGCGAGAGAGAGAGAGAGGGAGAGACAAAGAGGGAGGAGGGACGCGAGTCGAGGCAGAAGGGAACCAGGATGATGATGATGAGGAGGAGGAGGAGGAGGAGGAGGAGGAGGAGGAGGGAAGGGGGCCAGTCCCCTCTCTGCGTCGGCCGTGCAAAAGCATACAGCGCGAGTTTGTTGCTGCCCCTGGGAGGGCCCTACAGGGCCTCAGGACCTTGGAACAACTGTCCAGGATGTCGGGACCTCCAGGGGTCCACGTTGGAGGAGGGAGGGGGGAGGGGATGAAGGAGGAGGAGGAGGAGGAGGAGGAGGAAGGAGGAGGAGGAGAGGCTGGAGAAAGAGAGAGGGAAAGAGAGAGAGAGAGAGAGAGAGAGAGAGCGAGAGAGATGGAGGAAGGAGGAAGAGGGATGAGATAGGGGGGAAGGGAGGGGGGAGAAAGAGAGAGAGAGAGAGAGAGAGATGGACGAGGGAGGTGGGTGGCGTCTCCTCCTCTCATGCTCCCCCCCGCTCCTCCTCCCTCCTTCCCCCCCCGGGCCGCAGGGCGCGCCGGGCCACCGCGACGAGGACGAGGACTTCCTGGGGCGGGGCAGCGGGGCCGTGAGGAGGGAGGCCGGGGAGGGGGAGCCCTGGCCTCCCCGATGTCAGCGGAGGCCAAGCGCACTCCAGCCACGCGCAGAGGGGGGGGGGCAGTCAGCACTCGTTTCGATGCCTCCTATTCGATGTCGATGGGGTCCGATTCCGATTCGTTTCGGCTTCGGATTTCGAAACGGGATCCGATGTCTCACTGGAGGCCTATAGCCTGCCGATCCATGCCGATTCGACTTTTCCCGACTCGGCTGCCGATTTCCGCCGATCCGATTCAATTTCGATCGCCGATCCGACTTATCGATTCGATACTGGGCCCCCCTGGGTAGGGGCAGGGGAAAGGCTTCTTGGAAGCACCCCTGCTTCTCAGATGGCGCGGGCACTGTCTATAGATGTACGGCCGGCGCCTTCTGGAAGGCGGGCTCCTTCTAAGAGGCCTCCCCCCCTGCCCCTCTGCCCGCCCGCGCGCGCCGACAGCAGGTGTCAGGGGAAACCAGACGTGCCCCAGCGGACAGACGCACCACGGAGAGGGGGCCTCCGCTCCTCCTCCTCCCCCTCCTCCCATCTCCTCCCTCCTCCTCCTCCTCCTCCCCTCCTCCTCCCTCTTCCTCCCTCTCCCTCCTCCCTCCTCCCTCCTCCTCCTCCTCCTCCTCCTCCTCCTCCTCCTCCCTCCTCCTCCTCCTCTCCTCCTCCTCCTCCTCCTTCCTCCTCCTCCTCCTCCTCCTCCTCCTCCTCCTCCTCCTCCTCCTCCTCCTCCTCCCCCCCCCTCCTCCTCCTCCTCCTCCTCCTCCTTCTCCTCCGGGCCCACCCCCGGGAGGCCCAGCGGCTGGGTGCTGGCGTTGGGGTATTTTTTATTTTCCGTCGAAAATCCTACTGTAGGGGGGCACGCCCGACATAAGAGTAGATTCCGCAGCGAAGAGCTCATCCCGACCCCTGTCCGGGGGAAACATCTTGCAGGTTGCGCACCGTTTGTCTGGAGTCGCGCGTGGCTCAAGCGCCGGCGCACCTCGTTTGGGCAGGCTGCAGCTCGCCGAACGAATGCCTTGTTTGCTTGGGGGTGCGCTTGGGCCTTTTGAAGATGGGGTCGGAGTAGATGGTGTCGAAGGATCGCGCCGCATCGCCGATGCATCGCCAGTGCACTGGCGATGTGGGTCGATGTGGAGCCCGATGTTCTCCACGCCGACGTCGCCGATGCATCGCCGACGCCGCCGATGCATCTCCGATGCATCGGCGATGCGGTGCAATCCTCCGACCCCATCTACTCGGACCCCATGTAGGAGGCCTCCAGGAAGTAGGAGCGATGCCGATCGAGATCGTGATCCTGGTTTTCATGTTCATTTTCCCTGTGGGATGTATGTGTGTTGTGTCTTGTGAGTCGCGAGTAGCAGGTGTGCCGCTCCCGCATCGCAGTCCGACAGCGAGCGCGCCGCCGTTCTGTGGCCCGGCACCCCGTTTGGAAGGGGCCGGAGCCAGGGTGGCCAGAGATGGAAGGATTACTCTTCGTAGGGCATCGAACACTGTTTTTTGATTCGCGGGTCGAGAGCGCATTTCTTCCAGTCGAAGCTAAGCGGGCCCCGCGAAGCTTGAATTAACAAAGAGGGGGGGACAGAAGGAGAGGCCTCACGTCAAGGCCAAGAGAGGGCAAAGCCCTGGGATAGGGGATCGAGCACTGACACAAACAGAAAAACTCGGAGGTCCGCGCGGATTTCTCGGATCGGCGCTGGACCTCCCTCCCTGGCGCGCGGAGCGCGCCAGGGGCGGCGCCTCCGGCGCCGCCAGGGGACCCCAGCGCCGATCCGAGGAATCCGCGCGGACCTCCGAGTTCTTATGTTTATGTCATCGCTTGTTCCCCTATAATCGCTTCTCCATGTGAGCAGGCCGTTGATGGGCGCATGTGCCGCCAAGCCAGATTGCAAAGGGACGGTCGCATGTTGCCATGGGCTGGCCCCGGCCAGCGGGCCCAAGAACACGGAAGCTCACATGCAGAAGGGGCATCCCAGAACCATTAACTCGCTTGGGCTACAGCGTGTTAGGGAGGGGATTCCAGCGAGTCCGAAGGCACAGGCAACGGTGGGGGACCTCGTCTGTCCCCAAACGGGTGTCTTCTCTTGTTGTGCCCGACGCGGGTTCGATGCGGATTCAACGTGGACTTGGCGCGGATTCGGCGCGGATTCGGCATGGTTTCGACGTGGATTCGACGAGCGAGACATGGGATTCGAAAGGGATTCGACGCGGATAGGGACGCGACGGAAAAGACGAGGTCTCCCGAAGATGCTGCACAATTGTTCTGTCTCCATAACCACACAGTTTGTAAGTCCACGGGCGCCATGTGAGTCCAGACGATCATGCGCCAGTCAAAGCGAGCGGTGGGCTGCACCAGATTCGGATTGAAGCACGAAGCGAGGGAGAAAAGAGCGCGAGAAGAGAAAGGAGAGGCCCGATCAGACTGTGACGGCGGGCGCGGGGGTGTACAGGGAGAATCGGGGCTCAAGAGACGGGGGTCACTCAGAGCGACGGACCTTGCAGGATCCTGCTGAGCCAGGGTTGCATTGACCCGGGCTTGCGTGCAGGATCTTGCAGAATCTTGCAGGATCTTGCAAAGCCTGACAGGTCTGAAATGACCCAGGTCAGTAGATCCCCGACTCATCCTTGTCCCGATGAGCCATTTTTCCACCATCTGTACCGTAGGCAGGACGAGGCATAACGGAGGATGGGGAGGTCCTCCTCCGCCTCCTCCTTAGATCCAGGTCTTCTGGATGGGATCGGAGTAGATGGGGTCGGAAGATCGTGCCGTATCGCCGATGCATCGCCGATGCGGCTCGAAGTGGAGCCCGACTTGCTCCACGTCGACGTCGCCGATGCATCGCCGACGTCGACGATCCGCTGCCGGTGCATTGCCGATGCATCGCCGACGCATCGCCGATGTGTCAGCGATGCGGCGCGATCTTCCGACCCCATGCACACCGACCCCATCTGGGAGGCCTCTGTTGGATCCCCGAACAAAGAAGCTCCCCCGTCGCCATGCTACGGGCAGGCCGCGCCGCAGGGGCAGGCACCTTGCCGAGGGGGTGCCCCCGTGCCCCCCCGCCTCCTCGCCCGCTCCTCGGCCTCGTGGCCGGCCCGTCCGGCGCCGCTCAGAGAGCTCGGCTTCGACGCCCAGGGCGCCCAAGAGACCCACAAGAGGCACCCCAGATGGAGGGTTTCTCCGAAGGGCTTGGGCGACCCCTCCTCCTCCTCCTCCTCCTCCTCCTCCTCCTCCCTCTCCTCCCCTCCTCCTCCTTCCTCCTCCCATCCTCCCTCCTCCTCTCCTCCCCCTCCCCCTTCTCCACCTCCTCCTCCTCCTCCTCCTCCTCCTCCTCCTCCTCCCCCTCCTCCTCCTCGGGTCGCCTACGGGCCTGGGGGAAACCGTGCAGCCCCAAAGGTTTTCCAGACGCACCACGAGGCCTCGGCGAGAATGCCAAAACCATTGATTTTTCATGGGTGTTGGACACATGTGTGCCTCTTGGGGGGGGGCCCTGATTTAAAGACCCCCCTCCTTTTATCGATCTCCTCCAAGATGGTTCCAAGATGAAAGGGTACCATAAGACAGCCCCGAGAGGCATGTTCGTCCTTACTGCGCCTCCTTACGATCTGGTTTGACTGTGACCTTCGGTCGTTGAAAGTGGGTACATAGCACCCCGCAGTTGCGGATAAGAGTGAGGGGGCGGCAGGGTCGTCGGCAGCCTGCGCGGCTCTGAGGAAGCCCGCCGCAGGCGCCGAATGTTTCGTCAACGCAAGTGGGTGGGTCGCGGGTGGGTCGCGGGTAGATCGCGGGTGGGTCGCGGGTTGGTCGCGGGTGGATCGCGGGTGAGTCGCAGGTGGGTCGTGGGATGTGTCGCGGGTAGGTCGTGGGTGGGTGGCGGGTGGGTCGCGGGTGGGTCGCAGGCTGGGGCGCGGGAGGGACGACGACAACGAACAACAATCGACAATCACAGCAACAACAATAATAAGAATAATAACAGCAACAACAACAACAGCAGCAGCAGCAATAACAACAAACACAACACCAAACAGTTTTAGATTGCTCGCCCTTCCCTGCGCGCGTGCCATTCAACAGGTATACCCGAAACCCTCGAAACCCGCCCTCTTCGTCTTCGACCGTGTCCCCTTGGGGGTATATCTGTCCTTTCCTCTAACGTATATGTCATACAGCCCCTACGGCAGGGAAGAGAGGACGGATGGAAGAAAGGGACAAGGGGGAGGGAGGGCGATGGAGCACACAAGAGATAGAGAGTGTAGCAGGAAGGGGCTCGGAGCAGAAAACATGTGGCAGAATCAGACGGGCAGATCGGGCGGGTAGACCCTAGCAGGCGGGTCGGGAATGCGGGCTCAGGCGGCCAGATCGAGCAGGCGGGTTGTTGAAGCGTGCGTCCTGCATGAATCGCAAGTCTCGAACGACAGCGCGAGTCCCAAGTAAATCGTGAGATTGGCCAAGGCGAGAGCGTGATTGCTGAGTGTCAATGGCGAGGCGCCTGAATCAACTGCGAGGAAGTCCCACGCGAGATCGCGATTCCTGCAAAATTGTGAGGACGTCCCGCGCGAGAGCGCGTGTTGGGAATTACTTGTAAGGAAGTGTCCGGCGAGAGCCGTTGTTGTTGTAACTCGGGGGCCAGGAGCCTAATTCTGAGACCCAAGTCTTTCCCTGATAAAAACAGGGTGCGAGCCCCAGGAAGGGCACTTCAATTGAAAAAGACACTGTGTCCTGGAGGGGGGATCAACAATAAGTACATAGTTCCGGCAATGAGAGTTGAACAACCACAGCAACAGCAGCAACAACAACAATAGCAACAACAGCAACAACAACGATCCGCATCGCGGAATCCCACTTCCGTCACGCACCCAGGGACAGTGAATGACCGTTCGGTCCACTCACGCTGATTTTTGGATCCCCGGTGTCCAATCTGCTTTAGGCGCTGTCTTCCTGCTTCAGGAGTCGGGCGGTGTTCTTTTGTCCCCTCCTCTTTAGGGAGCGGGCGGAAGCCCTATTCACTTTCACCGCCTCCCTATATGATGGTTCTACCCTTACGTCGGGCGCGTCCCTCTACGTAAGGAGTATTCAAATAGAAAAAAGGTCAGGGGACGATTCTTCAGTATTTCTCTTATGATGTTTGGAATGTATCGTGCGAATTACTTATGTTTCGTCCAAAATCCGACTGTAAGAGGACACGCCCGACTTAAATCAACCCACTTCTTCCAACCAATGTGTACTTCGTCCTCCTCCCCTCGGGCGGGGCTGAGCCAGGGGTGCGTCGTCCCAGGGCGCTCCAGAACGCTCTGAGAAGGCCGCGGCGCCCTGTGCATCATCCTCCAGAGTGAAGTCGGGCGTGTCCCTCTACAGGAGGAATATTCAAATATAGTCCATAAAATAATATGGGGACGGTTATTCTAGCATGTTTGAATGTGTGTTGGGTATGTTTTCATGTTTTATTTTCTGCCTCCAGAATCCGCCCGTAGGAGGACACGCCCGACCCGAGTCCAGAACGGCCAGGTCTCAGAGATCTCCGATTTATCCCTGTCCGAGTTTGTTATTGTTCTGGCCTCGTCTTGCAGGCGGCCCGGATTAGTAGGTCGACCCCGCCAAATCCAGGGCACCCTTGTGTCCTGTGTCTCGCGGCCCATGCTTCCTACAGTCCTGTGGCAATGTGGCCCTCGGAAGGGTCCTGTGTCCTCTCGCGTGTCCCTGTCCCCACTCGAGTCCGCCAGTGCCCTCGCGGCCGTCGCCGCTGGCAGGACATGAGCGACGTGGAGTCGGTGCGGTCCTCGTCCGAGATCGGCGTGGACGACCTGGGCACGCTGAAGGCGGCCGGCGCCGAGGGCAGAGCGCCGTTCGCGGGGCCGTCGGCCCAGCACCGCTGCGGCCGTCGCAGCTCTGAGCTTGCACTAGGTCGGGCCTGTCCCTCTACAGGGGGAATCTTCAAGAATAGTCAAAGAAGTAGTCGGGGGACGATTTGTTGGCTACTTTTGAATCTGTTGGGGCATTTTGGGGGTATTTTTTGTTTTTCGTTCAAAATCCGCCTGTAGGGGGACACGCCCGACCTAAAGCTTGCACCCGTTGGTCGGGGATATTGCTTTTGCTGCGTTGTGTTTGGGGGGCCAGGGCGTACGCAACGGAGCTTATCGCTAACGGGGCTCAGCCAGAGCGCCAGATACTTCAGGCTCCTGCAAAGCCACAGTTTGTTTCAGCAAGGTTTGGCACAGTTTTTTTCCTGAGGTGGTTGAACGGGGTCTGCGCTGAGCCGGGTTAGTGCGTCCCCGATGTGTGTTCTGTCGGAATCGTGGAGGCCTCTGGGACCCTCTGGGTTCCTCCAGACGCATCCCCGTGCACTCAGATCTTGAAGCGCTTCGATCCACATTGTTGTCTGGCCTCGGCCGGGCTACCCGTATGGCGCACAGATTGGTGGTGCGCTCTTACCTTGCATCATCAGATCGAGTTTGACTTCCCGTTGGTTCGCTCCATGCTTTGGCACCATCTGCGCTAGATCTACATGTCGAGATTATCTAGTGTCGGGGTGGACAGAAACCCCACCCTAACACGTCGACGAGTGAATTGTCCGTGTTCGGTTTTCGAGAGGGCGCCGCGGCCGTTATTTTCCAGGCTTGCGCCCGCCAGGTTTGGGCCCGAGGTCGTTCCACTAAACCACGTTCTGCTAAAGGGGGTTGTCCATCCCCGATAGTGGCATTCGGCGCACCTCGACACCGCGCTCAGGTTGTGGGTCAGATGCCTCTTGGATGCTTGCGAGGATGTGTTGGGAGGACCCTCGGAAGCCTATTGGAAGCAGTTTGGGGACGTCTTGTGTCCTCTCGGGGGCCTATTGGTGCCTCTTTTGGCTTATGTTTGGCCGCTCAAGGGTCTCCTGGAGCTTCTTGGGGGCCTCTCAAGGGGCCTGCTGGCGGTCTCGGGGGTCATGTCGGGGCGGAGGGCTCGACATGTCTGTTCGGATTCCCCTCTTGGGCCTTCTTGAGGCCTCTTGGGCCGCCTTGGCGCCCCCTTCGGTACCTCTTGGGCCGTCCTGGGACGATCTTGGGCCGGCCGTCCCTCGTCGGTACGTCTGGGAGTATCTTCCAAACATTTGCAGGGCAAATCTCGACCCAGCTGTGTCGGATTCTCGTCTTGAACAGAGCACCGCTCGCGCGTCTCCCTCCTCATCCTTCCTCCACCCCCTTCCTCCTTCATCGCCTCTTCACGCCTCACCCGCCTGTCTTCTCATGCACCCTGTGCGCTCCGTCGGGGGCTGCGAGCTGCGCAACTGTCGCCACGCTCGTGTGAGGGCGGCGCAGATCACTTGGAGACCTCGCGACTCCGTCGGGGGCTGCGCGCTGCGCCATTGTCGCCACGCTCGTGGGCTCCCGGGAGGCGCGGCGGAGGCGAGGGCAGCGCATAGAGACCTCGCGGCTCTCGCTCGGGGGCTGCGAACTGGCGCCATTGTCGCCACGTTCGTGGGCTCCTGGGGGGGGGCACGACAGAGTTGAGGGTTGGCGCAACTCGCCTCGAGACCTCGCGGCTCCGTCGGGGGCTGCGAGCTGCGCAACCGTCGCCGCTTTCGCAGGCTCCTGGGAGGCACGGCTGAGGTGAGGGCAGCGCGGGTCACTTAGAGACCTCGCGGATCCCCCTGGGGTTGCGAACCGGCGCAATTGCCGCCACTTCCGTGGGCTCATGGGAGGTATCGCGGAGTGCAGGGCAACGCGGATCCAGGCGATATCTCAAGGCTCCTTCGGAGGGTTGCGGAGTGCGCAAGTGTTGCAAGTTTCGTCGGCCATGTCATTGCAGATCCAGAAGAGATCTCTCAGCTCTCTCGGAGAACAGCGGACCGAACGAAGCATGAGATGTTGAGGCGGGAGAAGATATTCTACTCTCGGAGGCTGGCTTGCATGGTCGTCCAAGTCATCGGAGTGAGGATTACGAGGATGAGGTGGAATATGGTTGCAATGTTGCTGATATTGATGATGATGACGATGCTGATGACAATGCTGCTGATGATGATGATAATGATAATGATAATGATGATGATGATAATGATGATGATGATGATGATGATGCTGATGATGATGATGATGATGGTACCAAGACGATGATGGTGGTGGTGATGGTGATGGTGATGATGATGATGGTGATGCTGAAGATTTGTATGATGTTGGTGACGATGCTGATCAAGTTGATGATGATGATGATGACGAGGATGTTGATGACGATGATTGCGATGATGATGATGATGATGATGATGATGATGCTGACGCTGATGGTTATGCTACTGCTGATGCTGACGATGATGATGGCGGTGATGATGATGATGATGCTGATGCTGATAATGAGGATGATGGCAATGAGGACGATGATGATGATGATGATGATGATGATGATGATGATGATGATGATGATTGTGATGGTGCTGCTGCTGATGATGGCGATGATGCTGCTGACAACTACGAAAAAGGTGATGACGGTGACGATAGTCATCACGATGACGATGGCGATTATGCTGATGATCAGATGATGCCTGTGATGATGCTGGTGACGACGATTACGATAGTGATGCGGATGATGATGATCATGGTGGTGATGGTGGTGGTTGTGATCGTGCTGATGATGCTGATCGTGTTGATTTTGCTGATGCCATCAATTATGATGGTGGTACTGTTGTCACTGGTGAGAGTAACGTTGATGATGGTGAAGTTGTTGATGATGATGTTGATGCTGATGGTGTTGATGATTCTGCTTGTGATCATGATAAGGATGATGCTGCTGCTGATGATGATGACGTTTATGCTGATGATGATGATGATGATGATGATGATGTCGGCAACGATGATGATGGTGATATGATGTTGATGGCGATGGTGAGTATAATGGTTACGCTGATGTTGATGATGATGATGACGATGGTGATGTTGACGATGGTATTGTCATGGTTTGGTGATGCTACTGATGCTGCTGATGATGATGATGATGCTGATGCTGATGCTTCTGCTGAATATGACGCCGATGCTGACGAGGATGACAGTGATAATGCTTAGGATGATGATGATGACGACGACGACGACGACGATGATGATGATGATGGTGATGGTGATGTTGATGGTGATGGTGATGATGATGATGGCGATGATGATTAGGACGATGATGGTTATGATGCTGACGATGATGATGCTGATGCGAACTATGCAGACGATGATGAAGGGAATGGTCAGGATCATGGTGATGCGGTGTTGGTGATGATGCTGATGATGATGATACTGATGATGATGCTGATTATGATGCTGGTGGTGGTGATGATGATGATGATGATGATGATGATGATGATGATGATGATGATGATGACGACGACGACGATGGCGACGGCGACGGCGACGACGATGGCGACGGCGACGGCGACGGCGACGACGATGACGAGAGGGGGGGACATGTGCTTTGAATAGAGCACTGCTCGCGCAACCTCCCGCCTCCTCCTGCTCAGTTTCCTCAGCCTCCTCCTCCTTCTCCTCCTCCGCCTGTCTTCTGCCTCCTGGCCTCCCTACTTCCGTGAGCGCTCTCAGCGCTCAGCCCTTGCGGCTCATTGGGGAGCGGCCAGTTGCGCGACTGTCTCCACTTTCGTGGGCTCCTGGCAGGTCGGCGGAGGCGGTCGGCAGGCGAGACCTCGCGGCCCCCTGGGAGGCTGCCGGCTGCGCGACCGTGGCCTGCTTGCGCGGTCTGCTGGGAGGTCCAGCGGCGGCGGCAGGCAGGCGAGGCCTCGCGGCACCCTGGGAGGATGCCGTCTCGGCGCAGCGGGCGCCACGATCGTGGGCTCACGGGAGGTCAGCGGAGGTGAGGGCGGGTGAGACATCGCGGCGCCGTGGGAGGCTGCCTTCTTGCGCACTGGTCGCCACTGTCGTGGGCTCCCGCGAGGTTCAGCGGAGGCGGTAGGCAGGCGAGATCCCGCTGCCCGATGGGAGGCTGTCATCTGCGCCATGTTCGTCACGTTCGTGGGCTCCTGGCAGGTCCAGCGGAGTACATTGTCCTCGCAGCTTGCTCTTTGATGCAACGTTCACATGAACAGCCCCCTTGCGGTGGACTGGGGGTGGGTACGCGTCGGGTATTGTTTCTTGCTTCCTTTTGGCGGGGTTTGTTTTGAGCCTTCTTGAGGAGTCTTGGGGGGGTGGGGGGTTAGGCTGCCTCCGGGCCACCTGGGGCATCCTGGAGTGATATGTGGGCGACTCGGGGCCCTGTTGGAACACCTCGGGGGCCTCTGGAGTGAGTATGTCGTGGCCCGGTTTGGGTCCCTCTTGCCCCCGGAAGACTCAGGCGGGAAGCTTTGCTCAAGAGGGGAAAAAACACACAGACACAATTAATCGGCGATTCCCAGAAAATATTCGAAAATATGGGAAGTGGTGGGGAAGACAAAAAAACCCGAAAATATGGGAAAATACGGGGGATATGTTTATTTGTGTGCAT